TAAAGTCCTGGTGAGACATTTTTTGGTGAGGATTCAAAACACCAAGTGGCCATTGTTAGTCATCGCGTTTAACCATTTGAAAGACGTAGTCGACGGGTTTCTGTTGTTCCTATTCCATGCCTTGTTCTGTTACATAGGTGAAGCTGTACCCTCTCTGGCTTCAGTGACGCCAATCCCCCCCTTCCTGGCAGGCGCGACTCCAACTACACCGAGCCTACCCACTCCGATCGCACCCTTCCCAGGGGCCCCACCGCCGCCTCCAGGTCTACCTGGTCTTATGACCTCTACTCCCACTCACCCTTCTCTCCTCTCTCGATTCCCCGGACCTCTCCCTCCTGGTGCTGCTGCTCCTCCACTTCCTCCCAATTTCCTGAGACCGCCTGGGGCTTCACCTGGGTCCATTCCATCTGTGAGCATTACTTGTTTCAATCTCCCATTGTCTTAGAGGAGCTTCTTGTCCATTTACATATATCTTTTCGCTTCTCAAATTACTCCAAGACATCTAAGGATAATTCACGGTTTTCCTGTGTAATGCTATAAGTAGCTATATCATAATGTATAGCTATGCTTCTGTTGCCTTTTTGCTATTGACATCCCTTGTACATTTAGCAAGGTATTCCTGCTTCAATTGTAAATTTTAGATCTCATTTGATGGGAATTTCCGAACCTCTGCACTAGCCGTTGGACGAACGTAAGTTATTTTTATGTTTACATCGATCTACGCTTATTTGGCGATATGCACTATCCTAGAGCATATGACAACCTCACTGCCGCTTTTGCTATTCCTTTCTCGTAGAAGAGTGGATCACGCTAAGGGATATACAGAGGAAGGGAGGAGGAAGAGAAATAAAGAAAAATGATCGCTAGGAAAGTAGTAAGGAGAAAGTGGAGCAGGAGAAAGGCTGGGAGATGGAGGGCAAATTGACTTGGGGCGGCTAAAAAAGGGAGCAGGAGGGTTGGACACACCAGAAAAAAAACGATAAGAGAAGGAAGAACTGAAAGGAATGGGGGTGAGGCAAGAGCACTCATACACACGGGCAGGCGTGTCCCCACCTCGTGTCCGCGTCTCCTTTGTTCTCCCAAAGTGGGTTTTTCTCCTGCGCGTGCGCGCAAAAGCACACGTGCTGACTGTGAGTTGAAAAAGTGAGACAAGGGTGGTGGTGGCAGCAGAAGGGAAAGAAGTGGCAGTTTGGTGGGGTTGGGTAGGTCTTTTCTCCCTCTTTTCTCTCCCTGGGTCTGCATGCATGCGCTGCTCAACGTTTACCCCTCACCTACCCTCTCCTTTCCGCCCTCTTTGCCACATTATCGCTTGCCACCTCATCTCCTCTTTTTTTACGGCCTCGGCTGCACAATCGTTTGCGTGTTGCAGAGGCAGGCAAAAGAGAAAGAGTTATCCCCAATGAGAAATTCTAGAATGGAATAATTATTTGCCTTAGTTGAGGGGTTTCAATTTTCTTTAATCGTAACGTCCTTGTGAGCTGCTGACTTATCCCCGAGGGTATGCAAACCTAGAAATGAATTCACGACGTGTAACGCAGACAAGGAGCTGTACAAGTGTGATAGTATGATCAGAGCAGTAGAAGCTAGATGTAATGTGTAGTAAACATGAAAAAGCGCTGAATCAGCCATTTCGACCAAGTTCTCTGGGCTCGCAAAAGAGGCGTACTATCTGAAGTCACTATCTCTCCTCTTCCTTCCCTCCTCTCCTGTTTCTCATATTGCCCGACGCACACACACTGAATCAATCATTATTAACGTGCTCACGCAGCCCTCCTGCCTACAAGCATCCGGGCCAGAGGGAGGTCTTTAGCAGCACATACGCAAGCAAGCCAAACAGGCTTTTCAGTCCTTCCCCTCTTCTGCCTGCACGCTCTCTCGTGCTCACAGGACTACCCACCTGCCTGTCCCGTCCACACGTCTGCCCTATACCGAAGTTGAAAGCGATGATGGAGTTGGGGAAGGGGGATGACGAGGGCCACGATGGGTAGGGGCAGACTAAATCCCAAGTGAAAGCACAGTCATAAATGGACAGTTAAGTGGGAATAATTTACAAGTTCAAATAGGGTCGGTATCTTCTGCTGGCTAAAGGTAAGCAAAAGATATCGTGACCTCAGTTGGTGGTTTTATGATTTGGATCAGTCTATTGATGCACAAAGAGAAGAACGCTGATGCTGAATTATTGGAGTTTAGTCTTAATTGCTAGTACGACTGCTACCGTCATGGCAACTGGGTGCTTTAAATGGAGTCGCGAATAGATGGAACGAGTCTAGGATGATGAGGAGATGCCTTGGTCTTTTTTTTCCGGAAGCATGTTTAAGTGCGAAGCCCTTTACGTGAAATGCAGTGACTGATTTCTTCCTGGGACTAATATTGAGTGTGATTACCTTGGACTTTGTTTGAATGACATTTAGCTTAGTTTTTGTATCAGATTTTGATATAAAATCGGGGGTCTTTATCACAAATTTTTAGCGCTCGCAAAAAGGTCATTGAAACGTAATTTTGGGAAGTAGAGCGGTTTACGGCTTCCTTGGTAGATGAAGTGCCGTCCGAGTGATAATTGGCGTCTTCATCTCCGACTTCCTTACTTGGGGTCATAATTAGTCAAGCTCCTGTGTGGAATGGCTTAGCTATCCCAGGGGAACGTATTAATGCTATCGTTGAGACCGGTATTCATTTATGTTCCATGAGATTCCCTTTAGTTACCTGTCTTAGAAGGGGATTTTTGGTTTATTTTGGGTAAAGATATTTTAGTACTCTTCATCTTTTTTACACACTTGTGCAATTCGAAGAACGAAGGGAGGAAAGACACAACAGGGACAAATAGTGGCTGAAGCCGAGTTGGCTTGACACATGAATAAGTAAGCAGTTTCTTTCCATCTCTGCGTCTGTAAATTATTAACGAATGAGTCAGAGGAAGGGAGAAGGGCAGAGAGAGGGAGGAACATGTGCGTGCTTCCTAACTCATTTCTACCTCGGGCGGGAGAGTCGGAAATTGTTTTCTTTTCACCGGGAATGGGATGCAGTTTGGTTATGTGAGTACGAAAGAAAGAAAAGGAGGAGGAGGAGG